TTTCATCCTTCCTTTTCTTTTTAAAATTTATTTTTATTTTATGTGTATGAGTGTTTCGTCTGCATGTGTATAAGTGCTCCCATGTCATGCAATGCCCATAGAGGCAAGAAGAGGGCTTTGGATCCCCCGGAACTTGAGTTACAGGCAGCTGTTAGCCATGGGTGCTGGGAACGGAACCTGGGTCCTCAAGAGCAGTCAGTGCTCTTAACCTCTGAGCTGTCTCTCTAGCCCCTTAGCCTCTCTCTCTCTCTCTCTCTCTCTCTCTCTCTCTCTCTCTCTTCTCTGTCTCTCTGTCTCCTTTTTGAAACTTTTTTTTTTTTTTTTTTTTTTGTTGACCTAGCTGGCACATAGACCAGGCTGGCCTTGAACTCACAGAGATCTGCCTGCCTCTGTCTCCTGAATGCTGGGATTAAAGGCATGTGCCACCATGCCCTGCTTCAGCCTGCTTTCTCATACAACCAAGGACCACTTACCCAGAGGTGGCACTATCTAAGGTGGGCTAGGCCTTCCCACATTACTAACAATCAAGAAAATGTCTCACAGACATGTCCACTGTCTCAATCTGATAGAGACACTTCCTCTGATGAGGTTCCTTCTTCCCAGGTGAGTAAAGTTGATAACTGAAGTCAACCACGACAGGGTACATCTTGTTTCTTACTGGCATGTAAATTGCATGAGGCATACACTTCTTTTTGTGTGCATTTGCCTCTGTGTATATATATATGTTCATGTGTGTGTGCACATACATGTATATGTGTGTGCATGAACACCAGAGGTCAATATTGGATGTCTCCCTCAATCATGCTCTTTTTTTTTTTTTTTTTTTCAGTCTTTGGAGACAGGTTCTCTCCAGCTGACCTGGAACTTGCTATGTAGACCAGGCTGACTTCAAACCTGCTTCTGCCTCCCAAGTGCTGGGACTAAAGGCATGTGCCACCATGCCTGGCTTGCTCCATCTTATTTATTTTTAATATTTTATTTATTTTTTATTTTATGTGTATGAGTGTATTGCCTGCATGTATGTGAGTGCCGCAGAGGTCAGAAGAGGGCTTCGGATTTCCCTGGAACTGTTTTAAGGATGGTTTGTAGCTGCCATGCAGGTGCTGAGAATCGAACCCTGGTCCTCTGCAAGAGCAGTCTGTGCTCTTAAGTGTTCCAGCCCCCAACTCCATCTTATTTTATTTACATATCTACTTTTTTTGTCTTTTTCAGAGAGGGTCTCCCTGTAGCCCCAGCTGGCCTGGAACTCACTATGTAGACCAGGCTGGCCTTGAACTCACAGAGATCCACCTGCCTCTGCCTCCCAAGTGCTGGGACTACAGGCATGCACCACCACACCTGGCTCTATCTTATTTTTTTTTTTTATCTTTTTGAGACAGGGTTTCCTGGTAGCCCCAGCTGTCCTGGAACTCACTATGTAGACCAGGCTGGCCTCAAACTCACAAAGACACGCCTGTCTCTACCTCCCAAGTGCTGGCATTAAAGGCGTGTGCCACCATGCTTGGCCCCCATCTTATTTTTTAAAAAATATTTTGTGGGGCTGCAGAGATGGCTCAGCGGTTAAGAGCACTGACTGCTCTTGCAGAGGACCCAGGTTCGATTCCCAGCATCCACATGGCAGCTACGAACTGTCCTTAACTCCAGTTCCAGGGGAATCTGAAGCCCTCTTCTGACCTCAGCGGTACTCACATATATGCAGGCAATACACTCATACACATAAAATAAAAATAATAATTTTTTTGTTTTGGTCTTTTTGAGACAGGGTCTCCCTGTAGCCCTAGCTGGCCTGGATTCACTATGGAGACCAGGCTGGCCTTGAACTCACAGAGATCCACCTGCCTTTGCCTCCTGAGTACTGGGATTAAAGGCGTGTGTCAGCCAGGCCTAAATAAAATATTTTTAAAAGTATTTTATAGTTTTTATTTTATGTTTACGAGTCTTTTGTCTGCATGTATATAAGTGCACCTGTGTCATGCAGTGCCTACAGAGGTCAGAAGAGGGCATCAGATTCCCCTGGAACTGGAGTTTGGACGGTTGTTAGCTGCCATGTGGGTGCCGGGAATTGAACCTGGGTCCTTTGCAAGAGCAGCCAGTGCTCCTAGCTGCTGAACCATCATCTCTCCAGCCCCAACTCCATCTTTTTAAATTTTTTAATTTTATGTTTATGAGTATATTGCCTGTGTCCTGTAAGCATGTGGAAGCCAGAAGAGGGTGCTGAAACCCCTGGAACTGGAGTTAAGGATAGTTATTAGCCACTATATGGATGCTGTGAACCAACCCTGGGTCCTCTGTAAGAGCTGACAGTGCTTTTAACCACGGAGCCATCTCTTCAGCCCTCCATCTTATTTTTGAGACAGTCTTTCACTGAACCTGGAGCTCTCTGATTTAGCTAGACTGTCTTTGCCTCTCCACCACCTGGATTTATGTGAGTGCGTGAGTGCTGTGGATCTGAATTCAAGTGCTCATGTTTGTGTGGTGTGGCAAGTATTTTACTGAGTCATTTCTTCAGTCTCCCCACTCCTCTTCCTTTTTTATTCCCTTTAAGACAGAGAATCATATCCTAGACTGACATGGAACTGGCTATATAGTTTATCTTGAACTCCTGATCCTCCTGCCTACACCCCTGGAGTGCTAGGATTACAGTCACGCATTACTATGTCTGGTTTAAAGGCCTACAGTTCTTTTTGACTCTCATCCACAGATTTACATTGATTTTGGGATCAGAACAATTGTGACTCCAAGAGGATTTGTGCCCTCCCCACCTGCTGCTAGACTGGTCCACTGCGCCTAACTCAGGCAAAGCAGAAACTCATTTCTAAAGCTCCAGGGGAATAGGGGGGAAATGTAGGGAATCAGAGATGCATTCAGCAATTAATAATAACCAGCAATTAATAAATACTAATTGCTAGGTACTGCACAAAATACATTTACATGCATTAAACTCAGATTCTCTCACAACTATTATTATCCCTCTCAGCAGAGAAAGACACATAGAGATCACTCAGCTAGAAGGTGAGACAGCCAGGATTCAAATCTAGACTGAGTCATACTCTTAATTATGACACTAATGTGGATAAATTTCCTTTCTTTTGCCACTAGTCTGGAATACATATTTTGAAAAATGCACAATGCTTTACTAACACAATCCTTGCAAATGAGTCAACGAAGCAGGAAGCATTAACTCCATCTTAAAAGAATTTGCCTCCTAAAGTAGCTCATTCCTCAAGTTTCAGTTTCAATTATCAGAATATTTGGAGCTAGATCAGGTTTCTTGACTTTCAAGGAAAGTTTTTCAGGGAAATTGTACCAGAAAACCCTGATAGACAGGAAGTGCTGCGCACACAAGGCATGATGTGTGCTGCATATCGAAGAACAGTGAGTCTGTCAAAAAGGCTATGCTATTAACACCCACAGAGGAATTCGCTAATGAAATAAGGGAGCTGCCTGTCTCGGGCTTGGATTCAACCCGAGAACCTCCCTGGAGGAAAGGGCACAAAGGGCATCCACCCACCACCTGCACCGAGAACCCGCTGTGGAGACAGGCTCAGCCCCAGTTTCTTTCTCTACACAGTAAGCAGCGACTTCTTTCAGGGCTCCGCCTCCTCCTCGGTCTGAACCATTAAACAGCAAAACCCAACCCATGATTTGGCTTGGGCTCCAATCGGGTGCCAAGCTCACGAGTTCCTCCAGAGAAGCTCCCGCTTCCTCGGCAAGCCGCTTTGCTCTCTCCCGCGATTGGTCAGAAGCAGCATAGGGTCCGCCTCCCCCGCCTCCGGATTGGCGTCGGACCCCGCCCCCACCGGCCCCGCCCCGTGTCCCCCTCCGCCTGTGGGCCTCCGGCAAGCGCTGTCCTCTCGGGTAGCCCCGCCCCCAAGTGACGGCCGGACCGGGAATTGGCGGCGGCGCTGCAGCCATTTCCGGTTTCGGAGAGGTGGGTGCGGTGCGGAGCGAGAGTTGGTGCCGCCGCCGCCTCCAGAGCCTGCCCTGCTGCCGTGCTGCCTGGACGATGCGGCCGGAGCCCGGAGGCTGCTGTTGCCGCCGCCCGGTGCGGGCGAACGGCTGCGTGAAGAACGGGGAGGTGCGAAACGGGTACGTGAGGAGCAGCGCCGCTGTCACTGCCGCCGCCGGCCAGGTACGACGGGACCCAGCGGCCGGGCTGGGGCGGTGGGCTGGGACCCCGCGAGCCGAAGCCCGTATCGGGCCGGGGCAGACGAGCGGCCGCGCGGGCGGTCTTAGCGGCCAGCTGGTAGCTGGGCGCGGCTCAGGTGCGCTGGCGGCCGCGGCCCGGCGCTGACCAGGCCTCCTCGAGCAGGAGAGGGTGGCTCAAGGGCGGCGCGGGTCTCCCCTTCCCCGCGAGGTCCTCAGGCGGGGCTCCTCAACTCTGCGGGGACCCCAGCCGTACAGGGCTCCCCAGCTCTGCGGGGGCTTCAGCTGTGCCGGGCTCCCCAGTCGTGTGGGGCTTCCCAGTTCTGCCGAGCTCCCCAGCCCTGGCTCCCCTGAAAGGCTCTCTGCCCTGGATGGAGGCTGAGGCTCCTCTCAAAGCCCTGGTTTCTTCCCCTATGGATCCCGCCCGAAGTGTGGGCTGCTCTGGGTGAGAGGCCGACGGACCCTCTCCGAGCCCCACTGCATCCTCTCTAGGGATCCTCCTTAGTCCGCTCAAGTACATGTTTCCTGTAGAGTCCTGCAGCCCTGCAAGGAAACCATGCTCCGGGGCTTTCAAGACTGAGAAAGTTAGGTGGTGGGGGTGAAATACACCCAGGCAGCCTCTTCCCACCGCACTCTGGACTTCATTCACTAGCAGAACCTTGTCTGTGGCTTTGGCAAGGACCCCCCTCCTCCTGGTGCCTGGAAAGCATTGTCTTTTTCTGTGTGTGGTGGGTCCTCCATCCCACCATCCAGGTTGGATTGGGTGGCCCCTTTCACCCACTAGCAGACTTGAAATTGTTTAATCCAGGGGCAACTTGTGATGAGTCCTTACACTAACTGAGATTGAATTATCAATCACATTCAAACAGTTCTAAAATAATTTAGAAAGCTCTGAATTCATGACAGTATTTTAAAAACCATCCTTCCAGTTCTCTGGACTGATTCTTCTGCTGAAATGATGAGCTGGTTAAAAAGATGCAAGATTTAGTTGTTGGAAGAAAGTGTTGTTGTAATTTTGAGTTTAATACAAGAATTGTGCAAAGATTAAGGAAAAAAGTTGTAGTTCCCCCGCCCCCCTTCCCTCTGCAGGAGTGTGACTGCTGTTGTTTTGATAGAATGGTGATTTTAATTTGGCTTTAACATACTTAGTAACCTGTTCCCTAACAGTAGTTGTGAAAGGCCTGTTAGGTATGATAGGGTATCTCCAGGTCATATTGAGATACTGAGACTCAAGAGTTGAGGGTTAGAGGGGATACATAAAGTAGACTAGACTTCCCTTGAATTTGTAAGGTGTCAAGACACCTATTCAAAAGGTTGGTTTTCACTTTTTAAGAAATATGTGAGAGGGGATGTGATAAAAATCAGTAGGTCCTGAGCCATGGAAGAATTTACCAGTTTTGATGGCTAATGAGATAAAATTGCTGTGGCATAGAAGGTATCAGTGAACTGGAACAGTTGGAGCTAGAAAATAACAGGTGAATAAGTGAGGTAAGGTTTTAAGAGGAAAAAGGAAGTCCAGAGAAAGCTGGTCACATGTTAGAAGTGCTTTGCATCTGAAAGTTCTTTTTAGTCACTGGGGGATATATTCTGATTAAATAGTAAATCAAGTTCCTCCCTCTTGGAATTCCAGCAGGTTAGCATTTGTTGGTATAGTATTTCTTCAGAGGTTGCCAACTAGTAAGATGAAGAAATATCAAGTTACTAAAATGAAATATAAAAAAATCTGTGACTGTAGCTGGGTGTGGTAGCAAACACCTGTAATCCTAGTACTTAGGAGACAGAGGAGAATTCAAAGCTACATAGTAAGACCCTGTCTTTGTGCCCCCCCCCCCAAAAAATCTGATTGTTACATGTGGCTGGCTCTTTGGAATCTATTAGCAAACATTTTTACTCTAGCCACATTGGTGGCATTTGGAAGAATGTTCTGGTGGAATGCCCTTAAGGACTGCAGTATCCCTTCTGGAAAACTATTTTTCCCTACTTCTTTTAAAGCAAATGCTAAAGATCTGTAGATCTGTACATTTATGAGGAATAAGATCTTTGTAACTTCATGAGAGGAAGAGAGTATCTTATTTTTAAAGTGGTTTTTTGTTTTGTTTTGTTTTAAGCTAAAGCTATGTGCTTGTGCTCTAGTCTCTACCTGTCTTTCCTTCTGTTCTGGGGGAAAACTGCCAATTCTGTCTCAAAATATGCATAAGATATTATGTATAAAATTTCCTGCTTTCACCCGAAAACTATCACATGGTTGAAATGTGAAATTGTTTCCTCGTATGTCCTAACATTTCTTTTTTAATGGACAGGAGAGAAGTTAGAAACTTGTAGGGTTTCTTTTCTTTCAAGGAGAAGCAGCCACTTTTAAGATTTCTATAAGCTCTCCAGAATCTGAAGAGAATTTGAAGAAACGAATGCCCATGTTAAAAGAGCAGTTCCTGGATTGGGGTTGAGTTAGGTTAAGTAGATGCCATGGTAAGGAGGAGTTATGAAACAGAGGTTACTACTGTTCAATGATGACTGACAAGAGTTTTCACAAGAGTAGCAAATGAACAATAAAGCAATAATTTTCTCTGCCATTCAAAGGAGTGGGAGGAGTGTCAGCCTTTATTTGAGGTAAAGGGTAACAAGTAGCCTGAAGAAAATTTGACAGAATTAGAATCTGAAAGAACCTTCATGGGGTCTTTGTATGTCTGTAATTCATTCCCTTTATCTCTTTGTAGAACTTTATTTTGTTTGTGCTTTCTTTTTTTGACTGTCTTGTGTAGCTCAGGCTGGTCTTGAACTTGATCCTCTGCCTACACCTCCCAACTGCCCGGCATGGAGGAGATTTTCTGTTGAGACAGGGTCTCTCTGTAGCCCTAGCTGGCCTGGAATTCACTGTGTAGATCAGGCTGGCCTTGTACTCACAGAGATCTGCCTGCCTCTGTCTCGGGAGTGCTGGGATTTAAGGCGTGCACCACCGCATCCTGCTGGCTGCAGGAGATTTTCTTAACAGCAAGTTGGATTATTTCAAGAGTTAGTGTCTGTGGATTTAATTTTTTTTTTTCCTTTTTTTGATCTTTTTGAGACAGGGCCTCCCTGTAGTCCCAGCTGGCCTGGAACATGCTATGTAAACCAGGCTGGCCTCGAACTCAAAGAGATCTGCCTGCCTCTGAATTTAACTTTTTTTAATATTTTATTTATTATTTTTATTTTATGTGTATGAGTGTATTACCTGCATGTCGGTAAGTGCACCCATGTCATGCAATGCCTGAAGAAGACAGAAGAGGCCGTCGGATCCCCTGGAACCAGAGTTATGGACAGTTGTTAGCTGCCATGTGGGTGCTGGTCTTCTTCAAGAACAACCAGTGTTCTTAACCGCTGAGCCATCTCTCCAGGCCATGGATTTAACTTTTGAGTTTTTTCCCTGAAACTGCCAGCACTTAAGATCTTCCATTCCTTATAGAGGTTTTGAAATTTAGACTAAACATTTTGCTTTTTTGAATTAGTTATTAAGTATGAAAGGAGAAAAATGTCTTTCAGACAGTTTTGGACCTAACTTTTCTCTCCTTGGGAGTAGTTTCCATGAAACATTTAAAAGGATGAAAGTCTTGTAGTTGCCAGAATCAGTAGGAGCCTATCTCAAGGAGGCTGTAGGATGTAAGTTATATTAAGCAGAAGACAATGTGGAAACAACAGAATGTTGAAGGAGACACATGAACAACTAAGGAAGGGTGATTTATCCAATAGCTACCTTTTGTTTCCACTCAAGGGAAACTGTCTGGGGATTTAGTTAGGATTGTAGCTGGGGAAAGGGAGAGGTTGGTTATGAGGCAGCAGGAACTGGAAGGGTAGCCACAGAAGCTACTATACCTGTTGGGTTTGGAAGGGCCTGCTGAGGCACTTTGAGGGTTTCATGCTCTGTAGGAATAATGTAACTACTGACAACTTGGGAGATAAGATTTTTGTGTTTCAGATGCATTTGCTCCAAGGGGAAGAACTTTTGATTTTTACTAGCTAGATCAGAGATGTTCCAGTCATTTGTGGTACTCAGGAATTCTCTTTAATAAGAATTCTTGGGAAATGTGTAAACTATTCTGTTCTTAAGAAATTTTTTTTTTTTTTTTTTTTTTTTCGTTTTGAGACAGGGTCTCCCTGTAGCCCCAGCTGTCCTGGAACTCACTATGTAGACCAGGCTGGCCTTGAACTCACAAAGATCTGCCTGCCTCTGCTTCCCAAATGCCGGGACTAAAGGTGTGCACCACCATGCCTGGCCTAAATTTGCTGACTTAAGACTGCTTTCAAGATCCATTATAAAGCTGGAGACTATTTTTTTCTCTTTAAAGTTTTTTTTTTTTCTTTTGTTTTTTTTTTTTGCGGGGGGTTCTTACTGAGACAGGGTCTCCCTGTAGCCACAGCTGGCCTGAAACTTGCTGTATAGACTAGACTGGCTTGGAACTCACAGTAGATCTGCCTGCCTCTGCCTTCTAAGTGCTGGGATTAAATATGTACACCACCTTTCCTGGCTCATGCTTGACTTTTTTTAAAGATTAAAAAAAAATTATTTTATTTTATGTATATGAGTGCTTTGCCTGCATGTATGTAAGTGTACCCATGTTGTGCAGGGCCTTCAGAGGCCAGAAGAGGGTATCAGATCCCCTGGAACTGGAGTTAGAAACTGTTGTTTGCCATCATGTAGTTGCTGGGAACTGAACCCAGATTCTCTGCAAGAGCAGCCAGTGCTCTTAACTATGTAAGCCAGCTTTCCAGTCACCGCCTGCCCCCCCTTTCTTTTTGAGACAGGGTCTCACTATGTACCTCCTGCTGGCTTGGAACTCACTACGTAGACCATCCCAGGCTGGCCTCCATCTTACAGCATTTCACCTGCTTCTGCCTCCCGAATGATGGGACTAAAGGTGTGTGCTACCACATTGGGATTTAATATTTTTACCCTTGATTTTAGAAATGATACCCATTTACTGTAGGACCTAAAGCATTGGAACAATTCTTGGG